GTGTGTGTGTGTGTGCTGTGCTATGCGCGCGCGCGCGTGTGTGTGTATGTGTGTAAATATGCAAAAAATTACGTATATGCCGTATATATCCTTCATTATCCGCTTCTCAGCGATAGGAATTTCTATTCACAATTTCTATTCTGCTCGTCACGGGATGATGACTAATAGCTTATCTATTAAAGTAATATTAATGCATAGAGGTGGTAGACACTGCTCATAATGAGATTTTATTTTAAAATCTCGATTAATATTGTAATTCGAATATCGCACTTAAATACTAAAATTCACAACTGAGCAGCACAAATTCTGATACTCCCTGTATCAAGATTTCGAAACTTTAATGGTTATTTTCTTTAAATTGCATTTCTAAAGCTATCTTAAATACTATACTATAGATCCCAGTATAACAGATAACAGATACATATAATTTGTGCAAACGACAATTACGATTTTTCTTCAACTATATTTTTATCGAGTTCTTTCTTTGTTTTTGCATAAGCAAACAAGTTGGACATGACACTTAAATTGTATTTGTTGTACAGAGATCTATTGGAATGCAAAGAAATATGTAAGTGTATGTAATTCATCATAAACATTTCAATCAGAACTTCAATGTATGTCTCTTTTTATATACAATAGCGCATTTTTTCAGCGTTTACTGACTTTCACATTGAAATAGTTTTTCTTCTTTTACATATACGTATATCTGCGTATTAATTCAATTATTTCATATATTTCACAAATAACATACGTTAGTATAATTAAAATTGATTTAATTAAGATTTATGAAGTTGGTCCTAACTTTGATACAGGCCTATTTTTTCAAATTTTTCAAATTAAAAAAAAAGAAACGTAAGCAGAACACAATTAATACAGTTGTTTACTATTAATTTAACACCTATTCTTATTACAATGTCGAATGTTAATAAATCATTACAAAATCAATTTTCACTTATAGAACTGTTAAAATAGTTTCGTTTAATTTTTCTGATTATTATACACTATATAATTGGGCTTGAAAAACCTCAGGCCATTGCGCAAACTTATTGAAACAGTTATTTATAAATATAGTAATATTTCCTGGTTTCAAACCATAATATAACGAATCTAAAACACAAACCGCGAAGTTTTATCGAACTTGCAGTTTTTGTGTCTTTCCTTATTTGTGTTATGCAAGCATTCCAAACGATTTATTTATAAATTTTAATATCGAACTACTACGGTGTTAAATAACAATTACATTTTTTTTCTCCACCTATATTGATTTTTATCGAACTGTACTCTTTTTTCTTTTCTTTGAATATTTTATACATCATATAA